CAATCAGACAATACAGAGATAAAAGAAATCCAAATTGGTAAGGAAGAAGCTAAACTAACTATTTGCAGATGACATGACCTTATACATAGAAAACCCTAAAGACTGCATCAAAGAACTATCAGAACTAATAACTGCATTCAGCAAAGTTGCAGGACACAAAATACACTGAAATCTGTTTTGTAACTGTACACTAACAACACACTAAGAGAATGAGAAACTAGGAAAACAATCCCATTTACAATTGCATCAAAAAGAAAAAAATAACTAGGAATAAAACCTAACCAAGTCAGTGAAAGACCTGTACTCTTAAGACACTCATGAGAGAAATTAAAGAAAACACCAATAAATAGAAATCTATTCCAAGCTCATGGATAAGAAGAATTAATATTGTCAAAATGACTATCCTGCCCAAAGCAATTTACAGATTTAATGCAACCTCTATCAAAATACCAATGGCATTTTTCTATGAACTAGAGCAAATAGTTCTAAAATTCATATTGAACCACAAAAGACCCAGAGTAGCCAAAGCAATCCTCAGAAAGAACAAGCTGGGGGGATTATACTCCCTGGCTTTAAGCTATACTACAAAACTACAGTAATCAAAACAGTTTGGTACTGGCACAAGAACAGATCCACAGATCAATAGAACACAATAGAGAGTCTAGATATAAACTCACGCATATATGGTCAATTAATATACAATAAAGGAATCATGAATATACAATGGGGAAAAGACAGTCTCTTCAAACTAATGGTGTTGGGAAAACTGAATAGCTACATGCACAAGAATGAAACTGGAAATACAAAAGTAAACACAAAATGGATCAAAGACCTGAATGTACATAATGAAACCATAAAACTGAGAAGAAAACATTGGCAAAAATTTATTGAACACAAGCATGAGCAATTTTTCCTGGATACATTTCCTCAGGCAAGGGGAATAAAATAAAAAATGACCAAGTGGGACTACACGAAACTAAAAAGCTCTGTACAGGAAGGAAAACTGTCAGCAGAACAAAAAGCAACCTATAACATGGGAGAATTATATTCATAAATGATTTATCAAATAAGGAGTTAACATCCAAAATATATTAAAAAAACCTCATAAGCTTCAACAACCAAAAAACAAATATGTCGATTAAATAATAGGTGAACATGAATAGACATTTTCTAAGGAATAAATACAGGTGGCCAATAGGCACATGAAAAGATGCTCCACATTACTAATCATCAGGGAAATGCAAACCAAAACTACAATGAGATATCACCTCACACCAGGTAGAATGGGCACTATCCAAAGGACAAGAAATAACAAGTGCTGGCAAGAATATGGAGAAAAGGGAACCCTCCTACAATATTGGTGGGAATGTAAATTAGTGCAGTCGCTGTGGAAAGCAATATGGAGGTTCTTCAAAAAACCAAAAATAGAAAAAGTATGACCCAGGAAATCCACTTTGAGGAATTTACCTTCAGAAAACAAAATCTCTGATTTGAAAAGACATATGCACCCCTACGTGTAGTGCTGCATTATTTACAAGAGTCAAGTTACAGAAGCACCCTAGGTGTCCATCAATAGATGAATGGATAAAGAAGATGTGGTACATATACAAAATGTAATATTATTCAGCCATTAAAATAGAAAGAAAAAATCCTGCCATTTGCAACAATATGGATGAATCTACAGGGTATTATGAAATGAAATAAGCCAGGCAGAGAAAGAAATATACCACATGATTTCACTTACTTGTAGAATATGAAAGAAAGCAAAATAAAATGAACAAAATAGCAGTAGACTCATAGACAGAGAAGGGACTGGTGGATACCACTGGGGTGGGGCTGAGGTTGGTGGGTGAGGGGGATAAAATGGCACAAAAATTCTCAATCATAATATATGTTAATCACAGGGATAGTAGTACAGCATGGAGAGTATAGCCAATGATTCTGTAACATCTTCCTATGATGACAGATAGTAACTGCACAAGTAGGGGTGAGGATATAACATGGATAACTATTGAACCACTGTGCTGTATACTTGAAACCAATATAAAATTGTATATCAGTGATAACTCAATTTAAAAAAAAAGGGAACTAGCCATTAAATTCCTCACACTAGTCCTCAAAAAAATGAAGGAGAGCCTAATGTGGTGAAATACAGGTTTCAAAGTCAATTTCTTGTAATCCAAATGGGTGTGCCTTGTTATATGACTGTGTAGACTTTCAAAGTTTACCAACAATCATATTTGTGTGTTACTAAGTATACGTACACCTGTCCCCTGCTGGAACTTAGGAGAGAAGACAGAGACTTCAACTTTAATCCTTACTGTTCTTTGTTAAAAAAAATTAAGCTTTGTGCTCGCTTTGGCAGCACATATACTAAAATTGGAACGATACCGAGAAGATTAGTATGGCCCCTGCGCAAGGATGACACGCAAATTCGTGAAGCGTTCCATATTTTTAAAAAAAAAGAAAAAAAAATTAAGCTTTGAAAAACCCTAAAGAATCTACTCCAAAACTACTAGATCTAGTATCTGAATTCAGCAAAGTTGCAGGATACAAAATTAATACACAGAAATCTGTGGCATTCCTGTACACTAACAATGAACTAGCAGAGAGAAATCAGGAAAACAATTCCATTCACAGCTGCATCAAAGACAATAAAATAGCTAGGAATAAATCTAATCAAGTGAAAGACCTGTACTCTGAAAACTACAAGACACTCATGAGAGAAATTAAAGAAGATACCAATAAATGGAAACACATCCTGTGCTCATGGATAGGAGGAATTAATATTGTCAAAATGGCCATCCTGCCTAAAGCAATCTACAGATTCAATGCAATTCCTATCAAAATATCAACAGCATTCTTCAATGAACTATTGAAAATCGTTCTAAAATTCATATGGAACCACAAAAGACCCCGAATAGCCAAAACAATCCTGAGAAGGAAGAAAAAAGATGGGGGGATTATGCTCCCCAACTTCAAGCTCTACTACAAAGCCACAGTAATCAAGACAATTTGGTACTGACACAAGAACAGACCCATAGACCAGTGGAACAGACTAGAGAGCCCTGATATAAACCCAAACATATATGGTTAATTTAATACATGATAAAGAAGCCATGGACATACAATGGGGTAATGACAGCCTCTCCAACAGCTGCTGTAGACAAAACTAGACAGCTACATGCAAGAGAATGAAACTGGATTATTGTATAACCCCATACATAAAAGTAAACTCAAAATGGAACAAAGACCTGAATATAAGTCATGAAACCATAAAACTCTTGGAAGACAACATAGTCAAAAATCTCCTGAATATAAGCATGAGCAACTTCTTCTGAATGCAGCTCCTCAAGCAAGGGAAATAAAAGGAAAAATGAACACATGGGACTACATCAAACTAAAAAGTTTCTGTGTGGGAAAGGACACCATCAACAGAACAAAAAGGCATCCTACAGTATGGGAGAATGTATTTGTAAATGACATATCTGACAAGGGGTTAAATACAAAATATATAAAGAACTTAAACACCTCAACACCCAAAAAGCAAATAACCCAATTAACAAATGGGCAGAGGATATGAAGAGACAGTTCTCCAAAGAAGAAATTCAGATGGCCAACAGACATGCGAAAAGATGCTCCATATCACTGATCATCAGGGAAATGCAAACTAAAACCACAATGAGATAGCACCTCACACCAGTAAGGACGGCCAGCATCGAAAAGACTAACAACAACAAATGCTGGTGAGGATGCAGAGAAAGGGGAACCCTCCTACATTCTGGTGGGAATATAAGCTATTTAACCATTGTGGAAAGCGATATGGAGGTTCCTCAAAAAACTAAAAACAGTAATAACATTTGACCTGGAAATCCCACTCCTTGGAATTACCCAAAGAATACAACTTCTCAGATTCTAAAAGACATATGCACACCTATGTTTATCGCAGCACTTTTTACAATAGCCAAGATATGGAAGCAACCTAAGTATCCATCAGTAGATGAATGGATAAAGAAGAGGTGGTACATACACACAATGGAATACTATTCAGTCATAAGAAAGAAACAAATCCTACAATTTGCAACAACATGGATGGAACTGGAGGACACTATGCTCAGTGAAATAAGCTAGGCGGAGAAAGACAAGTGCCAAATGATTTCCCTTATTTGTGGAGTATAACAATGAAGCAAAACTGAAGGAACAAAATAGCAGCAGACTCACAGACTCCAAGAAGGAACTAGTGGTTACCAAAGGGGAGGGGTGTGGGAGGGTGGGTGGGGAGGGAAGGAGAAGGGGATTGAGGGGTATTATGTTTAGTACACATGGTGTGGGGGATCACAGAGAGAACGGTGTAGCACAGAGAAGGCATCTTACTACACTGATGGACAGTGACTGCATTGGGGTATGGGTGGGGACTTAAAATATGGGTAAATGTAGTAACCACACTGTTTTTTCATGTGAAACCTTCATAAGAGTGTATATCAATCATACCTTAATAGAAAATTTAAAAAAAAATTAAGCTAAAATCACAAAATATTACCATTTGTCAACCTATGATGGTGGGTGTACAGATAGGTTTTAAAATCTATAGTTTAAAATAAGTTTATAAATAAATGAGGAACACATCACTTGCTAACAGAAAAAGAAAAAACTTGCTATGTGTATCTATGCAGTCAAATATGAAAAAATGAATGGAAAAGATACACATTAACTTCAGGATAATGATCCTCTCTTGTAATAGTAGAAACAAGTAGTAAAAAAGAGACAGTAATGCTTTGTATCTTTAAAAATATATCTGCAGCTGACAAAACATAATTTTTGAGTGGTGGGCAGAGGAATGTTTTATTTATTTATTTTCTGTACCCTGAAGTATTTCATTGTTAAAAAATTGAAAGTAAAAGTAAGTTCTGGGCTCAGAAACTTTGGGAAATGTTTTCCATAAACTGACTTGCCTTCTTTACTAAGATAAATAAAGAAGTGGTTAAAGAATCTGATATCACCTTTGTGGGAAGATTGTATTTTCCATCTGGAAGAGAAAAGCTCTGAACTTCTCCACAGGCAGCACAAAGAAAAGCCATCTTGGTGCAGAGAGGCTTTATATTACTGACACGAACCACAGTCCCTCTCAGAGCAATGTATTTTCCATAGTAATTTGCTCGGACATTCTTGAGTTGTGTCAAGGGCTCATAGTTATACACCCTAGAAACAAAAAAAAGGAACATATTTATCACTGAATTTACAATGAACAAGAAATTGAGGTTGTCTGTATTTTCACCAGTTCCCTTTGGGAACAATTTATGAATCTTAAACCATGTCATCTCTACATCTCAGAAATTTCACAATAATTACATCATTCTAAAAATAAAAATGCTGTATCTTCCCTTTTCGTCTTGTCCCGTTGGCTGTTCTCTAGGTGAAAAGGAAAAAGGTAACGCCAAAAGGAAAGCCAACAGGTCCAGCAACTTTTAAGTTTTTAAACTTCCTTTTCAAGAACTGCTAGGAAGTGTCTTCTACAAATTCTAGGAAAGAAAAACAAAACCCTGATGATTTATTCATCTATTCTAACGAGATTTTTAAATCTTTAAAATAAAATAAAGAAGAATTAAAGAAAAATAAAATTCCAATTTGTTCTCTGTATCTAGTAAAAAATAAGTAATTTTAACAAAATATAATCACACCAGCTAATGCACTACACTAACTTAAGTCTAAATTATTAATTTAATTACTAATTTAAACAGCAAGGTCTTGGTAAGTACACATCCAAAATCAACATTTAAAAAATTATGCAGGATGGGAAATCAACTTATTTGGTGAGAAAAGGTTTATTTCTGTTATGTCTGAAGAATTATCAGTGGTTTCACTTGGGAGTGATGACCAGAGAAGAACTCATACCCTTTTACTGATTTCTTTGTCTCTTAAAATGAGGTTCTCATTTGTACATAGCCTTCAATGCCTGATACTAAATAATACTTTAATACCAGCATATTCCTCACCTTGCATGAATATGCGGCACATTGACTATTGTTTCCCCATCTCTAGATAATCCTTCTTGAGCTTGTAATTCAGCTGCATGTCTCTCAAGGTCCTTAGTTAATACCTAAACAGGATAGACACTTACTCAAAACTTGGAAAACAGAACATCCTCTTGAAGTACATGAATATAAACAGTTCAGAACAGAATGTTATCTGAATTCTAACAGCCCTTTTAAACTTTGATATTTAATTGTGACTTCTTTTTATAGTGGATTATATTTTACCTGGGATTTTGTTTCCCAGGTCTGGAAAACTCCAGCATCCCTGTCTTTTACCTTTTGTCCCAACTAAACCTGAAATTCCTTATAGTAGTCCCCAAAGCTAGTACCTCCTAGACAAGTTCTGGTGAAAAAAAAATATTTTCTACTTCTCCATATTCACTGAAAAATTAAGATAGAAAAAACTAAAAATGACTTTTGAAAAACCCAATACTCACACCTTGGCATTTAACATTAAACAAATATTTAATGACTCCTTCTGTACAAAGCAGAGAAAATGAGATGCACATATATAGCTATAATTGTTATAAGAACCACAAAGATTTAGAGACAAAATACTATGCAGTTTTAAAAAGGGTCATGTGAAAAGTTTCAGACAGACAACTGAGTTAAAGCCCCTAAAATCTGAATATACAAATCAAGGGACATTTTATGCTGAATGGACAAGATGTGCAAGAGGGAGGAGTTATTTAGAGAATCCTGGAGAGAGCTCAGTGGATGGTAGTGAGTGAAGGAGAGTGGTGGAGAGAAGTTGAACCAGATCATGGAAGGCCTTCAATGCCGCCTAAAGGATTTGGATATATCATTTGGTAGAAAACAGTCACCAATTTCCAAGGACAGAATATGTTTTACCTTGTACAGCAACCGTTTAGGAAAGATAATGAAGGCTTAGGACAGGAAGTAAAGATGGAAAAGAGGTGGATATCAGAGACAATCTAGAAATAGATATGAAAGGATGTGGTGACTTGGATGCAGAGAACCACTGAGTGAGATGAACCTGAAGACAACAGTCACAGTTTCGTGTGGGTTACTGTGGTGTACACATCTTTGTAAGGAACTATTCCTCATCTCCACTGCTCTATGTCCAAACCTCATACCCCTTTAAGACCCATTATATACCCCACCACCTCTACAATGTCTTCCTCTCAATGCTCCCCATTCTTCCCCAAAGTTCAGGGTCTTATCTTTATCTCTGAATGCACCCAACACTTTACCTGTGCCTGTCCTGAGATTTCCTACTCTTTATCTTGAAGCATTTACCTGTTTTGCCAGTCTAAAAAATGCTTTCATATATACTGTCATCTGACACTGAGACAAACTCAGGCAGGCACAACACATACTGCTATTTTCAGTTTATATACAGGACATTCAGGGAGATTAAGTGACTTGCCTCATGCCAAAGAACCTAGATCTGAGGTTGGTCTTTCTGTTCCAAGCTCATGGCTGGTAACACTGATTTCTTGCCTTATCTTCCTTAAGGTTTAATCCTGTACAATCTTTAATGAGATTAAACTAATTCAAATAAATTAGAAATAAATGATATATTTAGTTAAGTTGTTGTACATAAAATGAATAGTTATCTTTTAGGACAGGATTGCAACTTTTTAGTTCAAGCTAAGACCTATAGGTAAAAACTATGAATCTTGACTTTTACAAAAGCCTGCACAACATGCTTACCTGATGTATTGCCAAACCCATGCAAGCCAAAGTTTTCTCAGGTGTATCCCTTAATTCATTTGCTATATTTGGTATTAGTTTAGTTATTTCATCATCTTCTGTCAGTTCTTTAAAATCCACCAAAATACTTCCCTTTCTTTCTATTTCATCCTATAAAATATTAAGGTATGAAAACAATGATTGCTTTTTCAGTGTTAACTATCACAACTCAGCATTCAATTACACTTTGAGAAAGCAGAGGTCTATATAGTGATAATAAACAGTAAATTTTGTGCTTAGCATGGTTCTAATATTTAAAATATATTAACTTATTTATGCCTCTCAACAATCCTTTTTGGTAGGTATTAGTACTATTATAAGAGATAGACTATAATACTAACATTAATGTAAGTTAGATTATAGTTACTACTATTGTAAAGACAGATGAGAAACTTGAGGCACAAAGAAGGTAAGTAACTCACCTAAGTTAAGTGGTAGAGCTGGGATCTGGGCCAAGGCTACCTGACTCCAGTGTCTATGATGACAATCACTAGCACCTCAAACACATCACTCAACAAGGTGACAAATAAAGGTAGACTAGTAGCTTTGTTGTATGGAAGTCTTACCTTATCATATAAATCAATATGCCGTGTGAAAAAATGTTCAAATGCTTGAATCTTCTCAATAAAAGGAGAACTATCACTGTAAACTAATCCGACAAATATGACATTAGCAATGATAATCACAAGAGCAAGCACATTTTTCATGAGACAGAGAAACACTATATACACAATAACTTTTTCCAACTGTTTTGCATTCTGATTACATTTAGGTAACTGGTATAGAGATTCTAGAACAAGTTTAGTACTGCATAATCTGAAATGAGATAGAAAGTGCCTGTCTCTAATGCACCACATCTGGGAATCTTTGTTTTGTACCTCTGACACCTAATAGAGCCTATTTGTTCAAAGAGCTTACATAATCAAGCTTAAAAGAAAAATTATAATAAAACCAAACATGAACTAAACTCTTACTGAAAGCACTGAAGACAATCAGTGTTTGCAAAGTAAATTCTACTAGTCCAAACTGCCACTTGTCAAATACCTTCCTGAGATCAGGGAAGAGACAGATCACTATTGGTCTCTGGCCCCAACACTATCTTTTACACTGTAAAGTTTGAAAACATTTTTTAATTGACCTTCCACAGAGAATACAAAGAAGTTGTTTAGAAGTAAAGTTGGTTAAACCTAAGGGACCTCCTGAACTCCATCTTTAGACCAGTCCAATGAACACTTCTGTTGTTCCGAGCCAACTGCTACAGAAATATTGTGGGTGTTGGTGGTTAATATATCCTAATGCAATAAAAAATGTATCACCTATTAAACATATCTGTCTATATAATAGAAAAAAAACCATACTCTCAATACAGAAAACATTTGAAAAGGACTTATTCATTCACTAAATGAATGCTGAGTGCCTTGTATGGGGCAAGATCCTTGCCTTTAAGCAGTGAACAGCCTAGTGGCGGTGGGGGGAACAAAGATTACATATACACAACATGTGCAAATATATTTTATATATATATATATATATATATACACACACACAAATTATATATGCAATATATATATACACATACATTTATATATATTACATATAACATGTGTATTTATATATATATATATAAAACTATCCCTCAAAAAGATAAAATATAGTTTGAGAAAACCAAAAGACAATTCTCCAAACCTATATAGACAGATGTAAGATGCTAGCTGGTGTTCTTGATTATAAAAGAGAGAATTCTATACAAATTGATTACTGTCTCTTGATTCTAAACTATCCTTCCATTTTCTGCTCTGTGGTGCTATGATCAAGATCTACACAGTGCATTTCCCAGAATCTCTTTAGGTTCTGCCAATTGGAGACACTTTAGAGGCTGAAAGATAGTGGGAAAGGAGAAAGGAATTTATTGTTGTTTCTGTCTTTTCAGCATCTTTCCAGTTGCAGAATACAATACAGTTTCAGCCACCAGGTCTGAGCGCCAACCCTGCTATCCTCATATCAGTTAGCAGTAGCAACGAACTTCATTTCCCTCAGTGGTCTAAGCACAACTCTGAAGGGGGCTCTTCAGCAGTCTGAGCCAGCTTTGTAGGGGGCCCTTCAGAGTTTGAAACAATAGTTATGCTGTGGCCCTTCCTTGGAATTCTGAGGTTCTGGTAACCTCAGAACCTCTTATCTTGCATTCCCTCAGCCATAGGATGTGTTCTGCTTTCTGAAGTTACTACTTGCCTCACTTCAATGTTCTCTTTGAGTCTTCCATCTGTATATCCAATTCCCCATGTTAAATCCACTTTTGAAAACCTTAGCAAGGTTTCTGTCCTCCTAACTGATAAAAAACCTAAAAATAATGCCCTTGAAAGATAAATATGGTATAACTGTTTGAGTGAACTAAAATTAAAAAAGGGGGTATATATATATATATATATATATATATATAACGTAAGCCAAATGAATTATAATAATATGAGATGTAGCATCCAAAGACAAGTCAAGAAAACATAATTTATAGTACTTTTTGCATTTTTACCTTCAGAGAAATAAAGCTTCCAGCCTTTATATGGTATGAGTTGATCTAATGTTGACTGCAGTAGCAAAGACTGTGGGTTTTGTTCTGGGCGGTGGGGGGAAGAATACTAGATTAGTAGAAATAGAATATTGTTTTCCAATTTGCTTCTCCTTCCAAAAATGAAAACCTGACATGATATCAGAATATTTAAATTACAGGTTTTGGTAAAAATGCTGGATATTAACATTCAAGTATTACTCTAAGGGATAAAGTCAGACTGAAATTTGAAATAAACTTCTTTGTATGACAGACATAAATAACTTCCTTCATGAAGAAAAAAAAATTGAACAATCGTGGACCTCCCCTACCAGAAGAATGTTTTCCCCTACTTTTACTCAGGTCAGGTCTGTGTTCTCTTTCTCTCCATTTTCCTGAGAAGCTCCCACCATCTCTTCTTCTTTTCCAACTTTGAAATCTTCCTCGTCCAAATCCTCTCCCTCTATATTCTCCACTCATGTCTTCTAAAAGATAAAGATTAGAAAAGTCTTCATCACAACTACAGGGGAAACAGTGTTCCAAAAAATATATTAACACAGTAAGTAAAGGAAAATCAATGTATTCCAGTTGGAAAGACTAGTAAACAGGCTGCAACATTGTACACCACAGAACAAGCCTCCAACACTCTGCAGTCCTCTTTCTGAGATATATCATAGGTGTTTAACCAGGTATACTGGATGCTCATGGGATAAAAATAGGAAAAGGCACTCCACCTGTTTTTAAAGAGCTTCCACAATAGAAATTAAAATGAGACAGATAATTAGCCATAAGATAGCTTGTTTGTAGTGTTTGAGAATTATTTTAGGGCAGCACTAGCTGAACATAATCCTGAACTATGACACTAGGAATACATCACCATAGCTCCTTATATACCAGCTATCCTGCAGTGTCATAGCTACAGAGACACATGGCTATTTTCACACAGGCATCTGAGGCACACCTTTCTGGGGAAGCACAGGACTCGGACAGGGTACATACGTTTCAGTCTTTCTTTTTTCATAGGGGCCAAAATGGGAAAGAAGTTAATTTCCAGAAGATTTACAACTGCCTTAAAAAGACAATGGAAGAAAGATAATTTCTAAGCCAATACTGATAAGACAGATTACTTGCAGTTTCTCGATAAATCGTTGAAATGCAGTTAAGACTTTCTTAAAAGCATATTCTTATTTGTTAATGCAATTTTGGGAGGCTAATTATCCCTCCATATTTTTTTTTGTACATAGCGAAATACTCATTTTTATTAAATGAGTATTTAATCCATAAAGATAGTTCCTGGCTGAGTATCAAATTATCCAAAATACAAGTGACCTTTAAAAATGGGTTTTAAAACAACATATAGGTGGAGCACAGGGCAGTTTCAGGGCACTGAGACTATTCTGTATGAAACAGTAATGGTGGATATGTGACATTACACATTTGTCAAAATCCATGGAACTGTACTACAGAAAGAATGAACGCTAATTGTAAACTGTGGACTTTAGCTAACAATAATGTATCAATATTGGTCCACCAGTTGCAACAACTGTACCACACTAATGCAGGATATTAATAGGGGAACTGGGGGTAGGGGGAGGGAAGAGGAGATACATGAGAACTCTCTGTACTTTGTGCAATTATTCTGTAAACCTAAAACTATTCTAAAATTAAAGTCTATTTTTAAAAATAGTTCATATCCTAAGTATAAAAATAAGACTATAACCGTACACGGTAGTGCAATTCGTTACGAGATCATATCCGAATCTTTGTTTAAAGGAATTTAACGTGTAGAGCGTTCCTTCGACAACCCTGTATGTCATAGCTTTTTCAAACGAGATAATTTGGTGAGAACTAGCAAAACTTCCAACACAAATTCAAGAGGTAGGCCTTGAGAACGAGTAAGGAGCCACCCGTAGCCCGCTGTGCTTTTAATACCTTACTTCATTTACGTTTCCTCAGGCTAAGCTCTTACTTGCAAAAGACAGAGGTCCCAAAGCTCCCCTACTTTACCGCCAAGCAGGCTCCTGGGTAGCAGATCTACCCCGCCTGGCTCACTTCCTCCCGGGGGAAGCACGGTGGGGCAGGGAGGAGACTCCGAGGTCCAAACTCCTCAGGTAACCCCTGCCCAAGTCCAGCCGTTCCCTTCGGCTGCAGCTCTCCCGACGTGTCCCCGACAGGCCTCGCCTCACTCGACAGTGCAGTACGGAAACCTCAAGTCTCTCTACCGACACCTAAAATACCAGGGGAAAGGCGAGTTCCAACGCCTCAGTCAAGACGCCTGTCTTTTTCCAATTTCTTTTTTGGCGCTTATGTGACGCAACTTCCGTCCGAGGATCAGGAGGGGCGGGACGGATAGCAGCCAATCAAGGAGTTCGTCCAGGCGGAAGCCGCGAGGCGCCCGGAAGCTGTGCAGAGGCCACAGCTAGAAAGCGGAAGCCGTGCGCAGCACGTGGGGGCGCCGCCGGTCGGAGGTTTCGGCGTCTTCTCTTCTAGTGGGACGAGAGGCTGGCCTCCGCGACAGCGGAGGAGGGGCGGGGCTCGGGGCCCTGGAGGGTCGCTGCAAAGCAGGGAGACCGGCTGAGCGTCATGGAGGGCTCAGGGAAGCAGCCAGGCCCACAGCCACCGCGCCCCGGGGACCACTGCATCCGCGACGGCGACTTCGTGGTGTTGAAACGGGAAGATGTGTTCAAAGCCGTGCAAGTCCAAAGGAGAAAGTAAGTCAGGTCGTCGACCTTTGGAATTCCCCGCCCCCATCTTGTAGATAATTCCTTCCTACACATCTTCCTATACAGCCCCCCACCAGGTCCCATTCTTGGCTCTCAAGATCCCCAGCCTCCTCGCTCGTTATCTCCCCCCGGTCTGCCCTTTGAGGCCTTTTCCTCCAAGATCCCATCCTGGGCACTTGGGGTCTCCCTTACCCCTGCTGTCTCCCTGAACACCCCCCCTTCCAAGGTCTCGTACCTGGCCTTTTCAACATGCCTTTCAGTCTCCGCAGAGTCCCTTTCCCATTCTTGGCCCAGTGGCCGCCCCCGCTCCCCACCCCACCATCCCTTGTCCTGGGATTCTGCCCCTAGGTTCCTGGGATCTTCAGTCCTGTTTTCTCACAGAACGCACTCTTCACCCTCTGATCTTATCCTTGCCTCTCAGAGCTTCCCCTAACCTCCCCCACCTTTTCTGTATAGATCCTTTTTCCTCATTAATCCCTCACTCAGCCAGTCTCAATCCCACAGGTATGAAATCTGTCCGACCTTGTCTGGCCTTCTGGCTCCTCTCTCTGCCCACTGGGAATACTCGTCTATGTGGAATAACGTTAGGAAACAACTTCCCATGAAATATGGGATGATTCTAGGGGGTTCCCTTATTTAACACCAAGGGGTGTGAAGTCTGAGGAAGTTAAATTGCCCAAAAGCAGTTTGCTCAAGGACTCAAAACTTGAAATTAGGTTGGTTTGTTGAACCTGTGGATTCGTTACCACTGTTTTAGTGTTCTGTTTTAGCAAGAGAAGTGGGAATTCTGATAACTTTTTGGCTGGGGTGGGATGGTGGTGGTGGTAGTGAGGTTGTTAAATCCCAGTAGCTTATTAAAGGTGAAAATGAGTTAGGATGTTTCAGCTAATCATTTGAAAAATGCAACCAAGCTTTCTTTTGAGGTGGGTTATTATAGTACTTTTGTCAAAGAAGTTAAGTTGAATGCAGTATCAGAAGATTTCTACAGACCATAAGGCTAGGTATTGTGAGACCTGGAATTTCTGAGAAGTGCTCACTTTCAATGAATTATTTTACTCCTGTGTGAGTCAAACTGTTGACTGACGTTTAAAGTGAAACAGGTGTCAGAAAACAGTCAAGTAACAGTCCCCAAAGCACCAAGCTGGTGACAACAAGCTTTTTGGCAGAAGCACCAATTCAGTAAAGGAACAAAAAAATATACAAGGGGGAAGGATTTCTTTTAGTCCAGAAATGTAATATCTGCACCAACTTTTATGCATTTAAAAATTTTCCGTTAATAAAGTATTTTATCTTGGTGGTTGAAATTAGAAATTTGTGACTCTCATCACTGTTATACTTTGTATTCTTGAACCCAGTACTTCTTTTCTTTTCATAATTTCTGATTAGAAATGTGTGTGTCTGAGCAGATTATTTTTGGGAAGTGCCAATGCTAATTATTTAAGCTTTTTAACTGAGAGATAACAGTGCATCAGAGTCCTCAGCTGCCAGAGGGGTAAACCCAACCCAGCTCAAACCCAGTGTTTTAGTAGTCCTGGGGTGCTGGCAAAGGAGCCTGGGTGATGCGGTCTGTGCCTCCTGTCATGGTCAGCCTCCTGGGTCAGAGAAAAAGGAAGAGAAGGTATGGGACGGGGTCACATACAGGACGAACCAGTACATGCCTACCAGGATGCAGAGTTCTCTGGAAGTGGGCCATGTTCTGACGCCAGGCAGGGCTTCCTGAGATCCATTGGTCTTTGTTGGGACAGACAGTGGTATAATGGAAAGAACCAGGCTTTGGGGTCAGACAGACCTGCCTTTGAATCTCAGCTCCCACTTTGTAACTACATATCTTAGACAAGGTTCTTTTCCCTAAGCTTCAGATTGCTCATCCAAAAGGAGCTGTGTGCCAGTGTTACTGTGAAAATTAAAAAGTATGAAACACACCTACAACACTGCCTAACCCTTGGTCAATGCTCAGTGGATGTTTTTTTCTTTTGAAAGGAAGGTTTTTGTTTTTGTGGGACTTTTGTAAATTGTGATGAGATGAAAATCTGGGTAATGGGAAAATCTAAAGTTGCATGATCCTCAGTACAACATTGCTACTGTTGGGCACATTTCCAAGTGTGTAATTGTCAGTATGTTTATTTGTAAATATAATTTGCTTTTACTAGATGATGTTCAAGGAAAATGACCAGTTAGACCAGGGAATTTTGTTAAATCCGTCATCTCAACAGGTGTTCAATGTTGAGATTTTCTTGTATGAACTGCAAAGGGTTTCACAGTGTGTGTCCAGCGGGGCAGTGATCTCAGTGACCCCTTATTGCTCTTCATGGTATTTGCAAAGGCTGTGAGGTTGGACATCCAGTCAGTGGAAATTGGAGTCAGACCAGTGCCTCAGAAGAGGAATGTCTTCTGTCCTTGTGTCTTGTTTCAAATGCAACTTTTTTGTGGCTTCTTTATTAATTTTATATCTCTGTCCTAGCCCTATTCACTCCAGTTCATTTGTCAGTTCGTCTTCAGATATAATGCTGCTGATCATCCTTTGTGGAGACAATTGAAAATAAACTAGATTCAACATATCTTTTTGATACTGAATGCAAATGAGATTTAGCTAATTGATTGCATTTTCTTCCACAGAAAAGTAACTTTCGAAAAACAGTGGTTCTATCTGGATAACGTCATTGGCCATAGTTATGGAACCACATTTGAAGTGACCAATGGAGGAAGTCTTCAGCCCAAGAAGAGGAAGGAGGCGCCTACTTCAGGTGTATGAAATAGATTCTCTTGAGCCAGTTAGTCAGAAACCTGTCTACGCCCATAATTCTAAACTGCTAGCCCAGGCACCTTTTCTTTTCCCAGAGAAATCTAAACTCATAATCTAGAAACTGTAGCTTGGTAGAATGAACCAAGGCCTGCTTCTGGCTTTCTGAAACCTGGATTCTCGCTCCAGCCCATTATTAACTGGCTCTCTGACCTTGGACCAGGCATTTAATCCCAGGAGTCCTTCCTGCTTCAGTGCAAGAGCAAGTGCAGAGCCCCAGTTAAGTCACAGCTGAAAAGCGATTGACGATAAAGTAGAGGTTAAGAGGTCTGGCTTTGAATTTAACTGACTAGCTTTAAGTTCTGGCTCCATCACTTGCCTTATAACGGTGGGCAGGTTATTTGGTTTGGTTTCTAAGTCTAACATGGAGCCATAAATACATTGAATGCCTGCGCTGTAGTCAGTGTTCAATCATATCATGTAGGAAGCTCCTAGGGAGCCTTGCCAGTAGGAGAAGCCCCATAAGTTTAGCTACTATTATTAATTAGAATTAAATTCTTAGATATTTGTTAATATAAATATACTTAAAATATTTTATTAATAAAGTAAAAATGCTTAAATAATTATTAAAATTAAGTAATTGAAATACTATCAATGTTGTGGTTCAAGCCAGTTAATCAAATACTTTTAAATTAACACCCATATTTATAGTAAACACCAAATATGTTCCAGACATAATCAGGCATTGCAATGATAGCACTTCATGAGATACACCATCTCATAAAATTTCCTCAGCAGTGGGAATACCAAGTAGAAAAGCAGCAACATAATTTCAGACGGTGATGTGTGCTGTGAAGATGGTAAGGCAGGGAGGTGTACTGGAGGCTGATTGGATGAGGTGAGACTTGGCTGAGATAATGATCAGCCCTTAGTGATGGACAGGATCCAGCAACTCAGATGTGTCAGGAGAGCATTCCAGGTAAAGGAAGCAGCAAGTGCCAAAGCCTGCAGTGAGACTGTGCTTAGTGTGTTTAAGGAACAGGAAGAAGGACAATGTGGCTGATATGCAGGGGTCAGAAGAGGGCAGAAAACAGGAGGTAGGTGGAGCAGAGAGGGTGAAATACGTGAAGGGGAAAAAGAGGCACAAAATTCTAATTATAATGCAAGTTAGTCGTAGGGATGAAAGTACAGCATACGGAATATGGTCAGTAATATTGTAATATCTTTGTATTTGACAGATGGTAACTGCACTTACAGGGATGAGCATTAATAAGTAGATAGCTATCGAATCACTATGTCATACATCTGAAACCAATATAATATTGTATATCAGCTATACTTCAATTGCTAAAAAAATGTGGGGCAGAAAAAGTAGGCAGGGGCCAGATCATGTACAACCTCACAGGTTATTTTGGGAATATATTCCAGTTGCTGTCGGAAGCCACTGTCATTTTGTGTGTCAGAATGGATGAGCCAACTTGCATGTAAAAAGAACTGTGGACTGTAAGGGGGCAAGAGTGGGAGCAGAAGATGAGTTAGAGACTTGGAATAGTCTTGGCAGGAAGAGGTAGTGGCAGGACTGGGGATGGCAGTCGAACTGGAAGGCCAAATGTGAGTGGCTGATGGGCTGTCTGTGGATTCAGATCATCAATGTCATAAAGCAATTTCCTTCCTTAGAGACCAAGGAAGCAGGCACTGATAATCGAAATATAATTGATGACGGGAAATCTCAGAAACTTACTCAAGATGACATAAAAGCGTTAAAGGACAAGGGCATTAAAGGAGAGGTAATATTCAAAGGATGTTGTGTTTTGTTTTTGTTTGTTATGTAGGAAATTGCTTCATGTTGAAAACAGATTTTACCCAAGGTAAAATGTAAAAATACTGTGTACTTCTCTTAGAAATAATTTGAAGTGTTATGTGCAATTGAGTATATCAAAGATTTTGTTTCTTATATACAGAAATATAAGTGAATGACATTAATATTATTAGCAAAAGAGAATTTAATAACGTAGTGCATATCAGAGCTTAACTTTGTTCATTTTCAGTAATGTTTTCAGCCAGCCACAGGAGTGACAGTTTCCTTGGCCTCTCTTCTCCCTTTGTTGTGTATCTCTTTATCTTTGAATCAAATGAAGTTACAAAGTCCCTTGTATTTTAACACAAATTCTAGATAGAATTTTTAAAAATGCAAAATTCATCCATTTGGATTTCTGAGAAAAGGGACTGGAGAATCAGACCTGTGGATACATTCTGGGGTAAGAAACCTTTGAAGTTATCTTTTTTGTGAAAATGAAGTTTCAGGAAATCTGCTCCTTTTCTTATAGGAAATAGTTCAGCAGTTAATTGAAAATAGTACAACATTCCGAGACAAGACAGAATTTGCTCAAGATAAATACATAAAAAAGAAGAAAAAGAAGTAAGTAGTTTTTGTTTGAAAAGGATAAAAATATTAAATCTTTTTATAAATTTGTAAGATGTGTATATTATTAAAAATGAACAATTTTTAATCAATTTTTGAAAACTGATGTTCTTTTTTCTTCTTCCCCCAGATATGAAGCCATCATTACTGTTGTGAAGCCATCCACCCGCATTCTTTCAATTATGTATTATGCAAGAGAACCTGGAAAAATTAAGTACGCTTTGTTTCCTTTCAAACGTGTAATTGGGGGAAAATATATCTTTAAGAAATATGATTTTAAGTAAAATGAAAACACTTGCTCACCTGCATAAAGTGTCCTCCTACCTCATAAATTGTAAGTCCTTTTTACTGTTGTTTCCAAAACAATCAATAATCTTACCAACATAATTTTTATAAAACAAATGAAACTTGAAAAATGATTAATAAGAAAGCTTTGCTTAGCTAAAAATAAATGAATTATTCTTTTCCCCTCAGCCATATGAGATATGATACACTAGCCCAGATGTTGACATTGGGAAATATCCGTGCTGGCAATAAAATGATTGTAATGGAAACGTGTGCAGGCTTGGTGCTGGGTGCAATGATGGAACGAATGGGAGGTAAGATTTAACATTTTCAAGTCCATTAAACACCCACCATATGAGAGGGATCTAAAAAATTCAAACTCATGGAAAATGAGGTTAAGTTACTGTGAGGTTAATGAAGTGACTTGGTAGGCCCATGTAGCTTAAGCCCCCTGGACCTTCCTGCACTGTCCACAGCTCCCAGCCTGCCAGTGGCCCAGGTAGCAGTGGCCCTTTCTTCCTTTCCAACTTCAGTACCAGTGAGGATGGCTCTGAAGCTCATGGCTGGCTTGGAACTTGGGGACAGTGAACTTGGATAGCAGATGCTCATTTTATTGGCTGCATTAAGGGGATTGGATGTGAAGAATGCAGCACCACCTGACTGTCCTGCCTTTTCTCTGATCCCGTAGGAGATAAGAACTTTTAACTGACCTGTTTTAGGTTGCGGCTAAGGGGAAGCTAAGAGCCAGTCACCAACATGTAACATCCAAATTTGCATGATCATAGGGTTTTACTGTAGGGTTTGTTGGGAGTAATCCTTTTTAAGACTTCCTGTTTACTTATTTTGAAATTATATTGCCCTAATTGGGAATATTCATAGACTCCAGAGGAGCTGCATCATCCTTCAGCTTCTGAGGAGAGTAGAGAGGCCTTCACTCTTCACTGTAGAGGACCCTAAGGGTTTCCATTGTCTTGAGTCACCCATCGAGTGGATATGTGTTTTTTATCTGTTCAGGTTTTGGCTCCATTATTCAGCTGTACCCTGGAGCTGGACCAGTTCGGGCAGCAACAGCATGTTTTGGATTTCCTAAATCTTTCCTCAGTGGTCTTTATGAATTCCCCCTCAACAAAGTGGACAGTCTCCTAAATGGCACATTTTGTGCTGAGATGTTATCTTCAGAGCCAAGAGACAGTGCTTCGGCTGAAGAATGTAATGGCGCACTGGAGGAGAAACCGACTTCAGAACAAGAGAACGAAGACAGCATGGCAGAGGTGCCGGAGAGTAATCACCCAGAGGAACAAGAAACAATGGACATTGTCTTGCAAGACCCGGAATATAAGGAGCCTAAAGAGAGAGAAAGCAAAAAGGATTATGTAAGAATGCTAAGAGTCCCCACTACCCTCATAATATTCCCTTCAGGGCTCCAGTCAGTTTCATTTAAGCACTGGGATTTGGTTTGACTTTGGAGCAGCAGCTTCCAAGATAATAACTATCAAAACAGATGGAGAGTGTGTGTACATGTGCGTGATCTAAGCATTGGGTGGAGGTTTTAGGACACAAGTATTGTATAGGTACCTTAATGATTGTCTTATAACATATGGGCTTGCTTCCTTCTGTGTTTTCAGCTTCCTTGTAAGTGACCTCCTTCTGTTGCCTTAGTCTAGATTGGTAAATACTGCTGAAATGTTTTGACTGATGAAGGTTTCCATGAACCTGACTGACCTCAGTATACATTGGTTTCTTGTTTTTCTTTTTAAGATTCAGGAAAAACAGAGGAGACAAGAAGAACAGAGGAAAAGACATTTAGAGGCTGCTGCTCTGCTGAGTGAAAGAAATGCAGATGGGTACGTTGATGAAAAATGCCAGAAACGGCTTGGTGCTCATGGACTCTGCTTCAAACACATCAGCATCTGTGTCTGCTTGTCTGCTTTGATTATAAGTGGAAACAGAGGTGATGACTCTGGGGTCTTTTTTGTTTTTTTTTTTTTTTAAGAAAGGAGGCCGCATCTGGTGAAGGTGGGAAATTGTGCTGGTTTCAGAGTTGTAGAAAAAACTTGAAATTTCTCAAATAATGGTGCATCAAGTGGAGCTGCATTGTCCCACTACATGCTGGTTGTGGGGCATTCAATTTGATGCAATACTGGTTAATGGCAAAGCTAAGGAAAACTTGACAGGAGAGAAAGATTCAGATACGTGCAAAGCAGTACTGCAGTGTTGGGTTTGTTTCCAAATGATCAAGAATGTCATTAAATACTACTTAGAGTTGCTAAGCATCCTAAGAGCTTTTAATCCAGTTTGTGTTTCCTGGAAAGTAATAGCTCATGATTTTATTGTTTGGATTTTCAAGAATGTTATATTTAAAAATCTTCCTTGTGTGAGTTATGCAAATAGATACATGATCATTTTAAATGCATTTTGAAACCTGCTGTGCTTTCGGTATGAAGAGAAATAATTTGTCTAACATTTCCCTTGCAGTTTAATTGTAGCTAGTCGTTTCCATCCTACTCCATTGCTACTGTCTTTGCTGGACTTCGTGGCCCCTTCAAGGCCATTTGTGGTCTACTGTCAGTATAAAGAGGTAATAATATTGAAACAGAGTGGGTGGGAATTCTTACATCTGATTGGGAATGCTTACATGTTGATTCTCAAATTGCGGCCAATGAGGTAATTCTTAATAGAACTCTGTTTATGCCTTTAGCCTCTGTTGGAATGCTACACAAAACTTCGGGAAAGAGGAGGGGTCATCAACCTCAGGCTGTCTGAAACCTGGCTGAGAAATTACCAGGTACGTGTTCTTACAGCCAGTCCTGGGGAGCTGCCCTCCTAAATTTCTGGTTCTTTGCAGTTGTGTCAAAAACTGTTAAATAGATATATCCCTGTTGTTATCTGCAGAGATGAGAGTCTCATGCCTGTATCTCAGAAAATTCCCTGACCTTTCCTGACCCTCTTTATGTTAGGGTCCATTACTCTGTAATTCCACTCCAGAGAAACTTGAAATACAAAAAGCTGTGGTTCCTGTTTCCCCAAGGCCTTGAGATCACAATAACCAATAGTAGCGCAGTCTCTAGGTTGACAAGAAACTGATCCTGTCCTCTCTGCTGGGATGTCTCCGCAGCAAGTTCTCAGGATTTACTGGTAGGACTGTCTTCCAGTTAGGTCTTCTGAAGGCAAATAAAAGATCAGAAGTGTAAGAGATTTATCCGGAGAAAGCCTCTGGAAGATAAGGGGAGAGGGAGCAGAATTAGACAGGAGAGCCATCAGGTCATGTTGCAGATCCAATGCCTGTGAAAGGAGGGGGAGGAAGAACCTGTGGTGCTGCTCCGCGAAAGCCTCAGCATGATGGGGACCCCCAGAGCAAAGCTTGCCCATTAAAGAAGCCCTCCTGGCAAAATAGCCCAGTCTGGTGCTCGTGCCCAGTTACCAACTTGAAGCAGCCCGTAGCCCCCAGGGTGTGAATGCCAGAGCAGATCCCAAAGGAGCAGCAGCTCGAGGCTTTCTACTGCCTGAACTCACAGCCAGTTCTGTCTTGATGAGAGGTCTGAGGGAGCACCTCCGTGGCCACCACAGGCCCTGCCCTGCTGCTTGGACATCATACATAATCCAGGGCATTCTACAACCCTGGGGAACGCTGCCCTTCGTGATGGTCATCAGGCTGAGCTATGGTCACAGAAGAGAAGTCTTGTCAGAGTTAACAGCGTATTGGGGAAGGGAGGCTCTAGCTCTAAGCCCTGTAGCTGCTTCTCTGTTGAGTCAAACTCCACTGTTGACCATGAAATGTCTGGAGCCAAGAGTTTTTCTTGACCCGTTGGCTTAGATCAGTTCTCATTGCATTAGTGTCACTGCTTGTCAAATGTATTTACCACCAGAAACTTGCTTCAGGTTTAACAGAAACGGGTTCAGTTTTATTTTTCAAAAGAAAAATCTCTTAAATCAATTTCTACACTTGCATCTGCACTGCCATGTGAAGGGAGATGCATTTTAGGAATTGGTCTCATTAAATCATCAAGAGAGTCTGTGTCATTTAAATTCTGGTTTCTGGCATGTGTATTGTTAGCATGTGCTTTATCTGCTCAGGCAAACATGAATGTCTGTCTTTCTGACTTGATTAGGTTTTGCCAGATCGAAGTCATCCTAAACTACTGATGAGCGGAGGTGGGGGATACCTTCTCTCAGGCTTCACTGTTGCCACTGACAACTTTAAAGCAGACCCCAGTCTTAAATCCAACATGAGCACTCTGGAAGTACACAAGACTCAAGAGCCAGCAGCTAAAAAACGGAAATGCCCAGGGTCTGACTCTTAACCTTTTGAAAATTGCTTTAAGTTTTGTTCTCAGGCATTTTACAGTTAGTAATTAAACTTTAAATTCCATTACTAATTGTTTTTTCATATCCTAAGAATAAGAACATGTCTATATACCTGCTCCTGGAAAGGACGAGTAAGCCTTTTGTCCACCACTGACACAGATAGTCTGTCAAAACCTTGAACCAAAATACCCAAGCCTGGGTTATGCAGTGGACTGCTATATGGCTAATTCTGTTTATTTCACAAAAATCCTGTAAGTACTTTTGGTACTCTGTGCAAATATCTTGAGAATTTAAGAATATATTTATACAGAACTTGATTTATATGTTAAACTAAGCAAAATAACACCATAGCTAAACCTTGGGTACTGAAAAGAAGGAATCTGTGGAAGAAATTTCTACTGTTCATTCTGCTCTCTTCAGCCTAAGCAGTATGGATGTGTGCGTGTATGAGATTTACAGTACCAAAAATGTCTACCCTGTTCCCTCAGACAGCAGAATAAACTTTTCAAAAATGCTAGATTTTATTATTTTAATGGTTGATGACCTAGGAAAGTTAATGCGTATTTATTTTACTGCCATTTTTTGCTGATAGAAAGGTGTAATAGGGTACTTTTTTGCATTAATTTGCCAATTCTTTCATTCTTTGTTCCAAATAAAGACTGGAGTTTTTGTGTACTATTCAATTAAAGGAAAGAGGAAGGGTTTTTTCCTTACCCAGAGACTTTTGGGTGGATACACACATATATGTATGTATATGTAAATGTATATAGGTGTTGGTACATACTTATATGTATACACACACATACATATGGAGACAGAATGCAATGTGTATATGAACTATGACAAAGTTTAGTGCAGGGCTTAGACCAGTTCTCATTGCATTAGTGTCACTCCTTGTCAAATGTATTTTAAAGTGCCTTTTTTGGTGATGATTAATGCTGGTTTGTTGAGCTCTGGCATGATTAGGTGGTTAACTTTTCTAAGCTCTGGAAAAATATGATCAAATTATTTGGACATCTGCTGCAGCCAAGAAAAGTGTTTAGAGTAAGCCAAGGCTCTTACTCATTTGAGAGTATGAGTCTTCCTCACAAAACATGCTCACCATGTGTATTGTTCACATTATTATAGAAGAGATGCACATCATCCAGTGAGGAGCATCTAAGAAAAATAAAACTTTTTTCTTAATAGCATGTACTATTCTGATAATGGCCAGTGTGATTACCAACAAGTACAGTTTGATTCCTTTTTCATAAAACAATTGCTTTTAAAGAATAAAAGTGTTTCCTACTACGATATGTCTGACTTAACATTAATAGTACCGTCAGTGACACCATGTTGCTTGTAACACATGGTCTGTGTCAGAAAACATGCCCAGACTTGTGCCTCATTGAACGTGTTCTTGCAAAGTGCTGCCTATATACAGCCAGTCAAGTTTGGACAAGGACATAATATGTGCACAGCTGGATTCCATGGTGGCTGGTTTCCACTGGTCACTGTTGGTAAGACCATTTACTTGGGACTCGGCCACTTTCCATGTCCTACCCCAGTCCGTTCAGTCTGGGGGTCTGTACTGCAATTCCTTGTGTGTGTGCCCATGTAGCTGCCCTGGAGTTTATGTGTGGACTCATTTCACACACCAGCAGCTGTGTGAGCCGTAAACTGTGTCTTATCCTTAAGCTGTGTTACTTTTTTGTCATTCCTATAATTTACTTCACTTTTGAGGACTGCTGATTTAATTTAGTGGCTTGAAATTTAGTGTGACCATAATCCCCCAGAGGGCTTATTAAACACATTGTTGGGCCCCCATCCCCACGTTTCTGATCCAGTAGGTCTAGGGTGGTACAGAAAAATTGAGTTTCTAATAAATTCCCAGGTGATCTTGGTGCTGATAGCCCAGGAAACACAAGAAACACACCTGGGTAGACATCAACATAGTGAGCTAAATACATGATGTTTTCACCTTGTTTTTAAAGTGGACATCTACCTTTAGAACAGATGAGTGGATAATTCTATGACTTCTGGATATCCAGCCACCAAGAGAGTTATGTGAACTGCACTTTAATGAGTGGTAATTAAAAGTTAAAGACAAATCATTTTGTCATGTCCATCTTGTTTCTCCATTGGATATGGGTACTTGGAAGTATGCAGTGGTGCCAATTAGAGGATTTTTTAGCTTATTATCAGTGTCATACTAAAATTGTATGATGCAAGTTTTTTTCTAGCTTTATTGAATTATCGACATAGCATTGTTAAAGGCATACAATGTGTTGATACATTTATATGTTGCAAAATTATTACCACCATAGCATTGGTTAACAACTGTATCCCATCATGTAATTACCATTTCTTAAGAGTAAAAAACATTTAATATCTACTCTCTTAGCAACTCTCAAGTATATAATTTTGTTAACTATAGTCACCATGCTGTATATCAAATCCCCAGAACATAATCATCTTATAACTGGAAGTTTGTACCCTTTGAGCATTATCTCATTGGCCTTACCCCAACCCCAATCCCAACCCCTGGCAATCAGCATTGCGCTCTGTTTCTGTGAGTTTGGTTTTATTCGATTCCACGTATAAGTGAGAACATATATTATTTTTCTTTCTCTGTCTGACTTCACTTAGCATAATTGCCTCAAGGTTTATCGATGTTGTCACTAATGGCAGGATTTCCTTTCTCATGGCTGAATAATATTCCACTGTTATGTATATATATCATTCTTTATCTGTTCATCTATTGACAGACACAGGCTGTTTCCATATCTTGGCTATTGTGGACATGGAAGTGCAGATTATCTCTTTGTCTCATTGAGATACTAATTTCATTTCTTCAGTTATATCTACATATAAAAAGTATACATTTTTATACTCGCCCTACATTTTGTGTTCTTAATGTCATAGTCTGCATCTTTTTTCATTGTGTAGCCATTAACTTTTTTTCTTTTTTCTTTTAACCTTTATATTAGAATTATAAGTGCTTTTTTCTATAATTCTATAGAATTATAAGTGATTTACCCACCACCATTAAAATATTAGAGAATTCTGAGTTTATGTATTTATGTCGGTGAGTTTTATACTTCCAAATCTTTTCATGTTATTAGCTGATCAGTAGCTTTCATTTTGGCTTGAAGAACTCCCTTTAGCATTTCTTCTAAAGCCAGTCTTACGGTGATTAGCTTTGTTCAACTTCTGTCTGGAAATTCTCATTCACTTCTGAAAGCCAGCTTCAGGCAGAGTTCAGTAGAGTATTCTTGCTTGGCTGTTTTTTCTTTCAATACTTTGAACATCTCAACCTATTTCCTTCTGGCCTGTAGTTTCTGCTGAAAAATCCACAGGTAGTCTTATGGGATTCCCTCACACCTAACAAGTTGCTTTTCTCCTGCTGCTCTTAAGAGTTTCTCTTTGTCCTTTCCACAATTCAGTTACAATGTATATTGGTTTTTTGGATCTGTTTCTGTCTGAGCTCAGTTTCTTCCTGGAAGGGGCTTAACTACATACTTTTCCACCTGCTGCCTAAGAATCTGACTTCTAATCATCCTGCTTCTCCCTGCTGACAGCAATTCTCCCCTTTGGGATAAAGACCAGACACATCCGATGTCTGTTTCTTGAGGTGAGGGAAGTTTTCAGCCATTCTTTGAATAAGCTTTCTTTCCCTTTCGCTCTTCTTTTTCTGGGACCCCCTGTAATGCATATATTGGTCCACTTGGTGGTGTCTCATAAGTCCATTCAGCTATTTTCTCTATTTTTCACTCTTTTTTTTTTTTTCCTTTGCTCTTCTGAGTGGATGAATCTCACTGCCTAGTCTTTGAGTTCATGGATTCTTCCTTCTGTTTGATTTAGTTTGCTGTTGAACCCCTCTGATGGGGGTTGTGTTCATTCTCCTTGGTTCTTGTCTCCACTGCAACAAAGAATTGAAAGGCAGAGACAAAACAGCAAAGCAGAGGAAAGTTTTATTTGAATACACTCCAAGAGAGGAGTGGGCCAGAGTCAAGGTAGACAAAAGCCTTGATCTGTTAGGTGGGAGGCTTATATGTTACATTCTGGTTAGAAAGCACCTCTTTGACAGACACGGTGGAGTTACTTGATTTACAGATCTTTTTAGTCATCCCTCTCAGGATGTCCTTTTCCCAGCTGAGGTGTGATGTGGGCAGTTCTTAGTTCTTTCCGTTGGGATCTGGTTCGGGAGGAAGTTATCTGCCTATGAAGCCTTTGTTCTCTTCACATGGGACCCCCACCTGGGCAGAGTTTGGGTGGCTTTTTCTTTGAGCCTTATCTTTCCCTTTTCCAGCTGTTCTAGTCTGTCTTTCTACCTAACATTCCTAACACCTCTATTGAGTTTTTCAGCACAGTAATTGTATTATTTAGCTCTGTGATTTTTGTTTGGTACTTACAATTTTCTGTCTGTTGAAATTCTTTGTTCCTGAGTTACTTTCTTGACCTTGGTGAGCATCTTTATGACTGTTGTTTTGAACTCTCAGATAAATTACTTATCTCTCTCTTGTTAAGGTCTGTTTCTGGAGATTTTCCTAATGCTTGGAACATACTCCTCTGTTTCTTCATTTTCCTTCACTCTCTGTGTTGGTGCCTACACATGAAATATAATAGCCACCTCTCCCAGTCTTGACAGGTTGGTCCCTTATAGAAGATGAACCTTGCCAATCAGCCCAGTCTGAGCTCCTGCTTGTCTCTCAAACCTTTGTTATTGTCCATACTGCCATCTTGATAACTTTGTGGCTCCCATGTAATCGAGGGTGTGCCAAGGCCCATCAATATCCCAAAGGGGAGAATTGCTGTCAACACCCAGATGCAGGCTGATTAGAAGTTAGATTCTTAGGCAGCAGGTGGGAAGGTGTGCAGTTAAGCCCCTTCCAGGGAGAAACCACAGGCATCTTTGCTTGCTCCCTTCACACTAAGCCCAGGTGTCTGGCTGTGGGCACAGAGGTGTTGTTGCTGCACCCATTTAAAAACTGCTGCTTTGGTTGCTATAGTACTTGGGACTCATGAATACAATTCTCACCCGCTATGAGAGCCCGGTGATCCAGGACCCTGTACCTCAGGTGGCAGCCACAAGAGCTGGGGCACTAGAGGCGTACAAGCTCCTTCCAGAGAGACACTGGGGGTCTGTTTGCATTGGAGTGAACCAGAAATGTGGTAGGGGTAGTGCCTACCAGCCCCACTGGCCTTTGGGGAGGATTGCAGACAGCCTGTAAAGGTGTGCTGAATCAAGCTGAACCCTCAGGCAGCAACTTGTGAACTATGCAAACACACCCCTCAAGGAGAGACTGGGAGCTGGGTGTTTCTGCTTGCTACCCCTGCAGGAGCCCTGAGGGGATAGCCACAGTGTTAACTGCTTATATAACATTCATTAAGACTGTATTTTTATTTGCTACAGTCCTGTGGATCTCATGGACCCAAGCCCCACTGGTTTTCAGATAGGTGTTCTGGGGGCCTGTTCCTTGAGAGACAATCTTAAAAATTGTAGTGTTAGATGTGTGGTCCAAACTCTTCACTCCTCAGGGAGAATCTGGGAATCAGGGTTTGGGGTTCCCTCCTGATTGTATTACACTGGTCTAGGGTGAGAGAGTGTCTCAGCCTTTCCTACCTGCTTTGATTGTGGGTATTTTTTCATTCATCTGGTGTGAAGGAGTCACTCAGCTAGTTTCTGGTTTTCTCTCAGAATTACTCTGCGTAGCTGTACATTTGGAGTGTCCATAGGAAGAGGGAAGTTTAGGAGCCTCCCATGTGGCCATCTTGTTCCCTCTCATATGGGGCTTATCTTTAATGGGCAGTCGTTCATTACTGATTGTGTATGGAAAAACCAAAGACATACTCTTTTTTAATATTCATAAAATTTTGAAAAAAGGGGTGTGCATTTTGGTTTAAAACTCTAATTGTAAATATTCCAAGAACAATACTAAATACTAAAAAGCATGTCCTAAAAATCTTGTCATTCACATTCATGTTGCTCTAAGTGTTGCTGATTTTGGAATGGATTAAGTGTATGCTAGAAAGGACCCTACTGTATTCTAGTATCTTTACTTGAAATATAGTATTGCCTCTAGGCTAGTATTGATTTTCATAAAATAGATTACAGATTTTTCTTGGACTTAACTATGTTGCACAGTCAGATGACAAGATATGTGAGTCCCCTGAATTGCTAAAGAGTAACTGATAGGGTCTTAACTACCCCCATTAACATTTATTAGGTACCCACTGCTTTTTGATCCTTTATGAGGAAAGGCAAAATCTTTGAAGCATAGGAAATTAGTATCATGTACTTAAAAACACCCACATCCCCTTTTTGGCCTCTTCCACAGTACCATTAATAACCTGGACTTTTGGCATTTGTCTGAGATACCCTTAAAACAAGGTAGACTTTAACATTTCGTTTTCACAGTGGCAGGAAGGTAACAAGGCACTGAGAAATTTTGTTTCAAAATGTGAGTAGGCTCCATCTGTTGAATGTTTGGTCTACTCAGTGTTGTTACTGTAAACCAGCAAGGTTTAAAAAGTAGGGAAATTAATCCAGAAGATGGAGGAAATGAGGGCAGAAGGTCCTTGCCTCCTGGGAATGCTCTCCCCAAGAGAGAAGTAGGTAAAGTGACCTCACAGCTCTTTCTTTTCCATTATCTGCAAGTGATACAAAGTAACTGAAGCTTCATAAACTCCAGGTAGATAGGAGGCTGTGTGATCTCAAGCCCAATCCTATGCGCAGGTGGGTGAGTTGCAATGGGAAAGCGCTCAAGAGACCAGAGGCAAGACCCAGAGATGGCATAGGAGACATGAGAGTTCATTGGAACTTACGTACAGGGAGTCCAGAAGTGGCAGCTGGACAAGGTTGGGCACAGCTCTCGTGGACAGGGAGGGAACTGACTGTCGGGTGAAGGGACAGAGATTATGTGCGTGCCAGAGTACACGCTTTATGACTATACTACATGTTATACCAGAAGGAATCCTTCTTGTGCAACTCGCACCCCAAGGAGTGAAACCTTTGACAGAGGGGTCTGCATTCCCCGAACATGTGTCCATCAGTAAAGCAGGCCTGTATTTGGCCAGCCCCAAGGCCATCAAACACTTAGTATTCTGCCAGAAAGAGAAATAGCACATGGTTATTCTAGGACAAAATGTTACAAGCAGGCGGTCCCCACAGAGTCAAAAATAAAAATATGATTGATTTAAAGCAGGGGTCAGCAAATGACAGCCCACAGGCCCAATCTGGCTCCCTATCAGGGTCTTGTACAGTCTGCAAGCTAAAAAATGGCTTTTACATTTTTAAAAGGGTGTAGGGGAAGCAAAAGAATAATTTTGTGACATGTGAGAATCACATGAAATTTAAATTGCAGTGCCCAAGAAAGTTTTATTGGAACACAG